GGGATGAGAGCATGCACCTTCTAGCACATTCCCACCTTCAGCACTGAAGAAGGGGTGGTTGTTTTTTTTTTTTTTTCTCCCTTAGGTGCTCTGTGTGTGTAGGTTTGCAACTGCTGTGGGGGTGGGAGGAACAGTAGTGTTCATGGAGTAAATCTTCCATTTCCATTGTATAGAGGTTTCTCTCCTTGGGATATGTGAGGGGGCTCAGTGCAGATGTAGAGCCTGAAGTATCTCTGCAAACAATTAAGCTAATCAAAAAGTAAGGCCTTTATTTTCCTGAATTAATTCTATTCTATTACCTGGAATCAATTAAACCCCACAACTCCAAAAACCCTGCTTCATGTGTCGTATGGTGCGTTTCCATCTGCTTGTTCCAGTGATTTCTTTGGAATTTCCTGACACTTGGCAAAGATGCTCTGCTCTGGAATGTTTGGGTTTAGCCTGAGCTTTGTGAAGAAGGAGGCAGCTGCTTCCTCTTTGCCATCAGTGTTGGTGCATCTCAGCTGTGGCTTCAATGCCAGATGTGAGTTGGGTGCTGATGACCAGCAGGACCAGGGATCCAAACTAGCTCCAAACACCACAACCTGATGTTAACAACGAGCTGCTTAACTTCAGAAATAAAAGGGATAGGAAGATAAAAGGGAAAAAAAAAAAGAGTCTGTTAAGCTGGAGCCCTAGAGAATAAAGTGGTTTTGTGCTGAGAGTTTGGGCAGTGGTGTATATGGAAATGAGGACCTGATAGTGGTTTCTTGGCTGATTTAGTCCTCTCAAAAAGCTGTCAATGTCTTAATCAAATGACATATGGTGCTGTTGAAAATTTACGCATAGGAAATTCAGGGAACCGTTTTCCTTCACCCTAAATCTTCTCTATTTGTAGCAATGCAAAGTGGGTGCAGAGCACTGTGGTTATGATGGATTATGTTGGTTTTTTTCTACTCCTGCTTTTGCCTTCGGTAATTATTTATGCTATTGCAAAGGTAGCAAGAAGTGCAATCCATTAATTTTTCTAATTGATTTCCAAAGTGTTAATTCACTCAGTGGTAGGACGGGAGCGCTTTGTGTATGTGGGGTCCTTGGAAGGTAATAGGGGACTATTCACCTACAATGAAGTGTATGTCCAAGTAGATTGCTAGTCTGCAGGCTACTGAATCCACTTCTCAAAAGGATGTGTGTATTAAAAAAAAGAAGATGGGAGACAGGAGAGTGAAATTCTGCTTCGTTGAGGCAGGTTAGTTTTGTTGTTCTCTGGTTCTTGTATCAGGCAATTGAATTACTTGGCTTTCCAGTTACGAAGTGAAGATTTGGCTCTGCATACCTAAAGATTATTTATGAGAAGTTTGACTATTGATTCAGAGTGAATAATCAAATAGCCTTTGGGGGTAAGAGTATTAAGTTTAAAGATGTTGTCATAACAACCAGCCATAGTAACTTTCTCAGAATTGGTTTTAGACATCCCGTGTTTGATCTCAGCCCACAATATGTTTGTTTGAGCTTAGTTATTTGAAAAAGTTTCAAATTAAATTAGTTCAGCTGTCTTTGAGTTCTCCAAGGATGGCAGAGTGCCATATGGAATCCATTTTTGTAACACCTTGTGTTTGAAAAGGGTCTGCAAAATCAAGATGAAAATAATCGATAGAGAAATGATCAGGAACAATCTTAAACAATTTTACAGTGTGAAGAATGTTTTTAGCCGTGCTTCATAATTATGCAGAATTGAGCCACGAGATAGCAGTGTTTAAAGTCTGTACTGTAGGTGGCAGAGGTGCATTAGTTATGCAGCATCATCATCCCTATTTCATTAACGAGCAGAGCAGATCACATTGCAGTTCATCTTCCATTAATAAATATGCTGCCAAGTACCATCCTGGCTCCCTACTGTTTGCCTTACAAAAAGGTAAGTTCACCTTTGGAGGTGGTAGTTGAGTGAAGGACTTTTAAAATATTGTCTAGGCTATCAGTTCAGCTGTTGAAAACGCGCAGTAATAAAATCTTTAGTATCTTTTTGAACGGAATAGATTTCCAGGGTCCTTTTACTTTCACCTAAAAAAGCATAGGTATTGGAATGCCAATAATTTTTAAGTAAGTGACAATCTATGATTAAAAAATTAAATGGGCTTTCATTAACAATAATAGGGTTCCATAATAGCTTTTGTCATGGTAGTGTTGCTCTCCTTACCGTAGTTAATGTTGCCATTAAACACCTCAATTCAAGGGTGCTGTGACTTAGGTGAACATTGTTCCAGACTAAGACTTGGCATGTGACAACTCAGCCAAGAATTATCATCCGGAGTTGAATAAAGCAAACAGCATAATACTTGAAAACAAACAAAAAGGTATAAAGATGTATGAAGAGAACAGTTGCAAAAGGGCTACTAATGGGCTGTGGAGCTTTCCACCTCGTGTTTGATGGCTGTAATCTTTTCCAGGTTGGGATAGATCATAAATCATTGCTTCTTGCTGGCTATTTCCAGTAAAAGAAAATCATTCTTGCAATCCTTTCTCTTCTTCAGTTAAAATAAACATACTTTTTTTCAGCAGGGTTAACCGAATAGGAAGACAGGAGCTGAGTGAGCTTGAGTCAAGCTCATCTGGCATAGTTTCAGTGTAGTGTGTCCCCTGAGATGATTTTATGTCATTTCTGTGTGATAACCATAAGATACAAAAGGTGATAGAGCTACGAGGCTCTCTTACTCTGGGGAGACACGTAGGGCTCCTCCAGCTCAGAGCTCTTCTGTACCTTCTGCTCTCTTTGTGGTGCAGGAGGAGACTAGGCTGTCTGGGTTGTCCAACTGGACCCGTTCCATTTGTCTGGTACCACAGACAGTGGGAGTCCCCAGCTCAGCCCCCTTTAGCTTGGAAGGAAGGACTGGAAACCTCTGTAATCACAAATGTGCAAGCAGCAGGTGGGCAGCCAAGCAGAGGGATGGATGCACAGAAACAGCCCCGAGGGGAAGGAAACTCCGTCAGGGTTCCGTGTGCTCCTGTAGGAGGAGGGCTACCTGGAAGGACAGATGTGTGGGGTACAATTCCGTCAGAATAACGTTTGGCTGTTCTTGGTTGGTTTCTTGCAGGTTTACTGGGATGAATTTGCCTGCCCCAGTTATCAGCAGTAAAAACTGGCTGCGGCTGCACTTCACGTCGGATGGCAACCACAGGCAGAAGGGGTTCAGTGCCCAGTATCAAGGTAAATGCTTACTGCCTGGTCTCACTATTCACAACCTGGTTAGCCCAGCAACTTCTTCCTAGGAATATCCGATTGACTTCCCCGCATGATCCTTCTGTATCCTGTTGACTGTAATTTTCCAGCCGGGTATTCAGGTGTTGTCACACGGAGAGCTACTGTTGGGGATTGTTGGGAGTGCACATGCTTGTGAGCCCCAGGAAGATGGTTTGCAGTGTCTGCTTCCTGGGTGGAAGCGGATGTTCCCTCACCTGTGGCTTTGCAGGACGTGCTGTGTGGGATGTGGTGGTGCCAACGGGGCGCTGCTGGGCGTGGGGTGGCGAGTCCCACAGAGACTCTGTTGGCACTGAGCCTCTTTCTAATGAGATGTGAACTGTCCTGTATTTACTGGCTGTCCCTAGAAGGGTGGATTTCAGGATTGTGATCTTAAGATGCTGTTGGGGGAGAGGAGGAGGTGCTGTTGGAGGAGAACCAAGATGCTTTGGTTCATGAGTCAAGCAGAGAAAGGATCCCGTTGTGCTCTGGTCCGGGGGCATCCATGGGTGACTGCAGTTCGGTGCAGCCAGTTTGGGACCAAACAGTCACCAAAGCAGGTGGGTTTGGGTGGATTCCTTAGGACTGGTTACACCCTTCTCTCCGAGGATTTCGAAGGACTTGGTGGGTGCAGTGGTGTGGAATCACTTCAGGTGGCCGGCGCTGGAGGCAGGAGCAGGGAGAGGGAACATGGAGCAGGGAAGGAGGAGGAATGACACCCAGTTCCTCGTCCACCCTCCAGTGTGTGTCAGCGTAGTGCAGCAGCTTTCCTCGAAAGGAAGAAGTGACTTTGAGAAAAATACCTCAGCCCTGGACTAACAGGAACAAAGTGAAAGGGAGAGGAGTTTCCTTTGATAAATCTGCAAATTTGCCCTTTTTGTTTGTTCCCAGTTTATTGAACCTTAGCAGTGTTGGTATGGCCTCAACATGGGCTTTGCTCTATGAGTCACCATTGTTATTTAACTTATTTAACTTTCCTTGCTTTCCTTTAGCATATAAATTACTTTGAATTATAAGAAAAAAGCCTTTGTTTTTTCTGTATAACACAAACGACTGCGTGCAGCTGATGGCTTTTGATACGACATTCTCCTTTGCTGTCATGATTGCTGCTTTCTATTAAAACACCTGTCTGAATCATCCTTTTTTTCTTAAATAGGAAAGTAAAGATTAATGTTATAATTTCCTCTGATTAGATAAATGTCAGGGGGTTCTAATCTCGCACACTCCTTAAACTGTTTTGTTAGATATAACGAACTGTGCTTTTGTGTATTGAGTGTTTAAAAGATGAACTTAAAAATGTGCTCTTGAAATGGCATTGAAGCAGGACCTCGGTCTTGCTGGCAAAAGGAATCTGACACACATTCTCCGCATGCTTACTGTTTTTTCTGGAGTTTGTCAGGTTTTTTCCATCTGTTAGGAAAGATTTCAGTACTTAAACAAAACCAAACAAGAAACAAAGCAAAAAAAAACCCAAGGGTGAAGGCAAGATTTTTGCAGTCAATGGAATCTGTGTCTATAGAACACTACAGATGCCAACCCAATGTCTAAAAAACTCAGCAGAACCCTTCTTGGTGGAACGTAACCTCGTTTGAACAGGGGTGTTTTAATAGGGATGAATATATCCAAACTAATAGGTAATGCCATAGAAAGAGCAACTAAAATGTGTTTTTCAACAATAGGCAAGTAAGCAGAGCCCAGGATTGTCCAAGAAGAGGAAGAGAGGGTTAGGCTAAATCTAACTATTTCTCTGTTTTCTGAAGATGTGCACATACATCATTTATTAACTTTGTGTCCTGAGACAGTACCTGGCTTTGATAATCTATAAGTAGTTTCTCTTCCAGCTTGTTTAATATTGATACTTACTTTTAGCAGAACATCATCTTTGTTCCTTCCATTTTAGCTCTCTAATCCATGCCCTAGTTTGAAAATCTCTTCATGAATGTAAAAGCAAGGTTAGATATAATCAGCCCGTACACAGGTTTTCTTTGTTGAATGCAATTAATTCGTTCCCTTCCGGAGAGAGTTAAAATATTTTTGCTTTTCCTTCTCCCTTTTGTGTAAGGTCAATCTTACTTTCTTGCAAATACTTTTTTCCCCACGGTCTGTAAAAGCAAATAAAAGGGACTGTAGAGAAATCAGTGCATTAATTTTTTTTTTTTTTAATTTTTTTTTACACCTTCCTCCTGCTCCTTCTGCCTTGGTTCCCAAAAAGATGCCGTGTACCTGCAGGTGGTAAGGAGATAAGGTGGAAGTGCCTTGTCCAGGGCAGGTGCCAGTGCAGGGGTCAGGCACCAGGTGTTTCTGTCCTCCCCATCAGCAGAGCAATGAGGTGCTGTGAAGGAGGCAATGAAGAAGCTGCTGAATTTAAAACGATGCTAAAGGCATCTCAGTGCTCTGGCTGGTGTAGGCCAGCTCTGCACATACTCCATTACAGAAGCTGGAGCCCAAATTGCTTTTTAGCTGATTGTTACCAACACATAATTGCATCTTTTATTGATCTCCCCGCCCCATTCCCTTCCCCTTCTGTCCTCCACCCCCAGGTAGAAAAATAAATGTGCTACTGTGAAGAAAATTAACTCTGTCCCAGCCAAAACCAGTACAGCAAGTTTCAGCTGCCACCAGCAGACCTGTTGCCTTTAATAATGGTCTGTTGAACTACCTGGTGCACATACTGCACCACATAAATGGCTTTTAAGGATACGTCTGTATCTGTAAATATATTGGCTTAATTTTTGACAGATCTCCCAATCTTTATGTTGGATCACACCTTTGGGCTGCAAAGGAGTTACAGCTTAAGCTGTGCAACCTCTTGAGTCTCCTGAGAAAGTGGCAGAGACAGGAAAGTTCTGGTGCTTGTTGCAGGCTGTGATTCCGAAAGATCTGTTGCTTAGGCTGGCGAATGGAGGGTGTAAACGAGTTACAAAGGGGTTGCATTTGGAAGTGTTTCTCTTCACCTCCAACTCGAGGAGGAGTCCCTGTAAGCGACCTGCTGTAGCATCCCAGATGATGCTAAAATACCCCAGGCAGGAGGAAGAGGGATTGAGGTGAGTCTGTATCCGAAAGCAATCCCCCAGTAAGGAGAACAGAGGTTCATGGAATAGATTTTTGCTGAAATGCTGTTTTCCAAATTAAAAATAAATAAATAAATGTCTCCTTAAATTCTCGTTTAGAGCAACATGAAATGGTTTCAAACACACACCCCAGACTGCCTGCTTGCTGGGAAAGCTTTGTAATGTCATCTTTCAAATTTGACAGGACGCTGAGTATTGCATTAGATCTATCAGATGTGTGTGAGCAGCAAAACCTTCCAGAAAACAGAGGAATTTCTGTTCATCCAATTATCCTGACACAGTCCTTTGTAGTGCTGTTCCACATTCAAATTTATAAACAAACCAGGTTCTCATATACCAGATTTTTGAGGGCATAGAGTGGGAGAATTGTTCATATTTATTTATTTATTAAAAAAGCAAAGTGATACTGTATTCTGACTTGTTCTAATCCAAACTGAGCAATTTGTAAAGCTTGACTTTTCATCACTATGTCTCCATGTCACAAACAAAATGAAGGATGAAGAGGGGAGCATATAGTGATCTCTATCAATTATTGTTGAAAGAGACATGGTGCAATTAGGGGAGTGTATGCTTCATGGGTAATGCACTTCAGTTTCTGTATTTTTGGACTGGTCCTTAGTAAGGAATATCTGGTTTCTGCTGTTTTCATTACTGTTAGGTGTGTTGGATCTGGGCTTTCCCTTAGTCACAAATTTGGAGTGGGGCTCTCTGTTTAGCCAGGTTCTGCAAGGCAGGAAGGACCAGAGGTCAACCTTTGTTATTAAGTGTATCCTTTAAAAAATTTGCAATTGTTTGCAAGGCCCAGATGTGTTGCAGCTGTGAACTCTCCATACCGATTGCCTTCTGCTGGGCTCGGGATGCTCAGCAGCCCTGTGAAATCAATGCAAGTTGCTGTGGCTGAGCAGACAGTGTGCCCTGATGAGCAGTGCTGACCCTCCCGGGGGTGTGTTACCCCCTCCACGGTGTTGGCATCGATACAGCGTGTAGGGCACATGCCAGTGACCAGAAAGCTTTGCTTTTGCTTTATGGCTGCAGGCTTACTGCACCGTGCCGCAGCGAGCAGAGCTGTGCCTTCTGCATGTGGCTGGGAGAAACCTTCACTGGTGATTGTATAAAGTAACTTGTGCTGGCGAGTTGCGGAGAATATAAAATTGGAAATTATTTTTATAAAGCTCCTCTCTTACCGATGGTGCCCCAAAGCGCTTCACAGAGCAATGAATTAGATGTGGCAAAGTCACGAGCCGTTGTACATCCTGCAGTAGCTCGAATTTAGCCTGAGGTACTTGGGCTTGACTTTATTTTATTGGCTGGGGCTGTGGGGTTGTCCCTGTACTTGCTTGGGAAGTGCCAGAGGATGGTTAACTGCAGCATTACGGAGGGTGAGCGGAACAGGATCCCGGTGCTCAGTCCCCCTGCAGCATCAGCAGGAGCCCGGAGAGCCCCAGCCCTGGTGCCACCCTCTCCCCTGCAGATGGAAACACCACAGGGTGGCACAGCCAGGGTCTGCCCGGGGCTGCGGGCAGAGGGGCTCAGCTTTGGTGGGGGCACCGAGCAAAAGGGGCCGGGGTCTTGGCACAGAAATAGGATGCAGACTTGCCCAGAAACTTCAGCTTCCGTAGCCCCGTGTCCTTCCTTGGGTCCCTTGAATAGGGTGTGTTTGGTAAAAACCTTGAGGTCAGACTGCAGACATCCCAGAATTACCATGCTGAGACCTGGAGGAATATGTGGCTTTGGGTTGTTCCAAGACCTGTTTTTCCTCTTGTACATTTGCGGGTGGATTACAGTAAAAAAAGAAACACGCGTGTTAGATTTGCTTTGAAATTTAATTATTTTTCTCTTCTTAAAAAAAAAAGGCAAAAAACCCCCAGCAGATTAAAGTTACTAATAAGACAGACATGAGCAACATAAGCTTTTCTTTATGAATATTTTTTTAAGTTAACACGGACCTCAGTTTGAAGTTAAAACCACTTTATTTAAAGAGAAAGCAAAAAGCTGTAACCAAACGATGAACAAAAAGCTCCAAGCCAGCATCTGGCTCGGAGAAGCACCACCTTAGATAAGCTTCACGGAATAACGCTTGACATCTCCCTGTCTGAAGCTCCTGCAAAAACAGATGTTATAAACAGATTTTTTTTTTTTTTTTAAAGCCAGAAAAGGATGATTAAAAAAAACTTGTTAGTTATAGCGGTAATTTTTCTTGACAACTTTGTCTTAGAAATGTGCTAATTTAGGGATGAAAGACAGGATAAAGAACAAGAAAAAGAACAGTTTGAAGTGGGAGATGGAATGATTTCTCCACAGATAAGGACTGGCTCATCAGGGAAAGGATCCTACAAAGTGATTTGGACATCATGCTTCCTGATGTGAAGTTAGTCTTTAACCACATTAGCTTCCAATATGCCAGTAAAAAAAAAATCCGTTGTGTGTTAGTCAGAAATATGTGTGTGCTGCAGGAAGCCCTTGTCTTTTACTACTGGTGTCCAGATGGTTTTGGCAGTGTGGGTTTTGTGCAGAACCCTCTTGTGCAGAGAGAGTCTCAGTAACAGCAAGTCCAGATAATAAAACCAGCTGCTTGGTTACGTGGGGAACTTTCGTACTGCAAAGAAGGATGGGGCTCTCCTGGTGATGGAGGGGTGGGAATCTGGTTGCCACCCTCGTCTGTTCTCTGCTGGGTGAGGGTCCCAGGAGCTCTGGGCGAGTCACCACGCAGGTTTTGTAATGGATGTGCCAGCGGCTACTAACACCGGGTCTGTAAATTTGCACTTCTCTTTGCCAGCAGTGTGGTTTAACATGGCCCTTTTTTCTGCCACTTTACTGCCTTTTTGGGTCTACTGTTTATGCAGATGGTATGTTCAGTTTTTAGGTTGCGGGGTGTCACTCGAGTGTTGTATTCCCATAAAAGCAGAGAATGGCTTTACTGTATAATGTATTCATGGAATAACTCCATCACTAAAACTGGGTGAAACTAGCTCAGTGTTTTACTGTCACCATCCCTGAGGTTTCTTAGAGCTTCTCTTTTGTCCCTTTCCCATTTTTAGTATGTTAAGCAAAATGATGTGGTTACAGAGGGGTGGGGGTTTGTGCCCCATTTTTGTATTCCAATTGGGTCAGCTTGGCTCAGATCCCCAAAGACACCAGTCCAGAGCTAACAAGGTAAATGACCAGGGGGCCCTAATCATTTTGAGGGGTCAGCCTGAGCTGCACGGCAAAGGTGCAGGTGTCTGTGGTGCAGGTGGGGTACAACTGCTGCTGCTTTTTCTTTTTAAATAATCCCTAACGCTTAGCTGAATCTTTTCCTTATCTTTTGCTTTGTTTTAAATCTCTCTCTGTAGTCAAAAAGCAAATTGAACTGAAGTCCAGAGGGGTGAAGCTAATGCCCAGCAAGGACAATAACCAGAAGACATCAGTGTGTAAGTTTTTTGGCTCCTCCTTACGCTCTTTGTATAACGATCTCCTTGAACATTTCATTTGACTTTCCAGTAATCTCTAAAACTTCGTCACTCTTGAAAGTTTTAATGCTGTTCCCTCTCTTCCCTCTGCATTACTGCATCACTTCCTTCCAGTGCTCTATTCACAAGCATATACTAACTGGTTAAAGTGGGAACGGAGGGGATCGGTGTGTGCATTTAATATATACTGTATGCTTCTTGCTCAGTGACAGGCTGCGGGTCGTGACTTCTGTCATCTCTTAGCGTGGAAAGTGTCAAACTAAACAATTTTGAAAACTGAATTAATGTTACTGTTGTAAAATTAGGAGTAGGGATAAGGAACCACACCAAAAAAGACCTATTAGAAAATCTACAGAGGAAATAGCAGTCTCTCTCTTTTTCTTTGTGGTTTATTTAATTATTCGTCCCTGCAGAAAAATCATACCACTGCTGTGCGAGGGCTTGTAATACTGGTTTTTATGGTCTCCCTGTTAGTTCCTCACTTTCAGTGTATCTCGTGGTTGATGTGTTAGAGGCGTGCTCAGAATGTCACTTTGTCACTGATGTGTTTTCCTCTGGCAGTAAGTGAATCCATTAGGTCCGTTCATCTTTGCATTAGGTTCCTTTCAAATCTGAAGCAAGACTCATGGTTTCTTTATGGACGTGACTGGAGAGATGACTGGGCTCTTAAGGGGGCTCTAAGACTGAACAGGAGGGATCCAGATGAACTCGAGTTTATATTTCATATAAATTCAAATAGGAGCAGAATGTAGCGTTTCTTGAAATAGTATTTAGAGGAGAGGATGTAATTGCTCATTTTGTTGCATGGTCCATTACACCCATCAAAGAGGTACCGTTTGGACATTTCACTCGCCTGAATTTCAAAAGCAAAATTCAGTTAAGAAAAATGGATGAACTGAATTTAAAACATTACTCGCTGTCTGAAATGAAAATGGCTCACTTCTAAGCTCACAGGAGAGTGCTTATAGTCTCCAGTTTTTCAGGAGCAAGGCCCAACAAGGTACTAAATAGCAGCATGTAAATTGCCCAAAATAGCCAGAGCAGAAAATGGGCATGTTTAGAGAAAATTAATTCAATTTAAAAAAAAAAACAACCCTGTATGCAAGATGTTCCTGGTCCTATGATATATTCTTGCCAAGAAGAATTGAATTGTAATAAATATTTCAGTTCTCTTGAGAATGAAGTTCTGCTGGAGAAGATCTCTGGCTTTGGCTGTGTGAGCGCTGGAGGCAAAAGGATGGGGTTTGGGGTGGGATCTGCTCTCTGGGATACTGGGGAATGTGGGGAAGGGAATCTTCATGGAGTGAGAAACGTTAGCCTGGTTTGGAGGCATTCGTTTGCTGCGTATGAATTGAGAATGTTTAGGATTCCTGTTGCTGCTTCCCTGTAGCAGTTCTGCCTGTGGCTCACGGATGTTGCCAATGACCGTGGGCAGCACGGTCGGGAGAGGTGCTGAAGGCTGAGGAAGAGACCAGCAACTCAACTTTCCTTTCTAGTGTGTCCTGCTCTGTCCCAGTCGTGTTCTGCTTTTGAGGATAAAAGTGCAGGAAGTTCTTGTTGCCTCTGCCCAGTTTATCCTCACCCAGTGGAGAGCAGGTTCCAGTCTTCAAAGCTGTCAAATCAGCATCTTGTGTAGTGCTAATCTTGTCATATTTGATAAGGCAAAACAGAGCGTAGGAAGGCAGCTTAGCCCGAAAGCTATTAAGCTCTAATAATATAGATGGTGATAGTGCTGTGGCCCAAATTCCTTTCCGTTCCCAGCACGGTGCATGCCACAACCCTTGTGCCTTCAGCTCCTTCCGTGTAGCCTGCTCGCAGTGAGGGCTGGATTGTAAACCCAGATTAACCTCTATCTTGCACAGCCTTCTGCTGGCACGCTTCTGTTACAGGAAATTTTCAGCTTCAGAAATGCTGATTCCAGAAAAGATGCTTCCAGAAAATGGTTCATTCTCAGAAAATGGAGCCCAAACCTTTTTCCCTTGCTTTTTTGATTTGCACGGCCAGCCATGCTCCTTCTTCTCTCCAACTTTCATGAACTTATTAGTCTGCATATGCATCAGAATTCTACAGGGGATACAGGCTGGGTAAAGGTCTCTGAAGTTTGCTGGTGTTGCTCTTGTTTCATCTGGCTCAAATATCAGGAATTTAGAAATTTCTGTCTCTCTTGGCATAGCTGTAGCTATTACCCTGCTTTATTTTCAAAGACTTTCTTACAGCGATGTTTTCTAGTGTCTTTGCACCTGTCCTAAAATTATGCCTTGAAGAATCCATGGCCCCAGAAGGCAGCTTGTGGCCACGTGTGTAAATACCCCGCAGGTCTTTCAGCGGATTTCTGTTTTTTGGGATGGACACTGGGGCTACTGCCAGGTCCTGCCTGGCCAGATTAAAGCCTGTGTATTCCTGGGTCTGGATGGAGGCAGTGTGTAGTCACGTAACGGTGCTATTTCAGAAAAAGAATACGTGAAAATATGGGATTTTGGGGGGAGGTGCTAATGGCGTTTGGTTGTAGTCAAACCTGTTTATTTGAAATTGAAATCAAGTGCCTCGTGCTGTTCACCATCCCTAAAATTAATTGGACGTGTTGCTTTAATCCTTTTTAGAGGAAAACTAATACAGCTCTGGAGAACAAGATACAAGAAATAGTTTTAAATTTTAGATTGCGTTTAGGAGATTATTTCTTTTACTGCATGCGGTATGTAAACGTGTATGCTCCGTGTTCACACAGTGGTAAAACCGTGGTACTTTGCTTTCACAAAACAGCCTCAAAGTTGCTTTTCTGACCTTGGCATGAGGCACACCTGAAGAAGCACTGCTGGGTGTTACGGGACGGGGTTGTATGAAGTAGCGCCAGTTCTGTGTGTGTTCACATTTTCAAAATCCGTTTGAAACGTACAAACGCGAAGTTGTGTTGGAGGTGTTGACCAGCTGTAGATCTCAGACAAGCGTATGGAAGCTTCTAGATACTCAGTGTAGCAGCAAGCCTGCTTTCTGCGTCAGATGTTGAGGTTTGAAGGTGTGTGTGGGTCCTGCTGGACTGCAGCAGCCCAGAGCGAGCACTGTGCTCCGGAGGGACTGGCACCGGGTGTGCGGTGCCAGGCAGGACACCACCTGGAGGAGCTGTGTTTGGTTTGAGTAGGGCATGCTTCAAACACAGTCTTTGCAAATGGGCTTTAGAATCTGGCAGTCTGTAAATCTTACCGAGCTCACATACTTCTGAACTGTTCTGAGATAACACCGAGATGTGAAATATGGGTTCAGAATTCCCAAAGTTAAAAATTTCCAGCTGGAAGTGGTCTACTCCAGTGTTAGGGCCTTGCAGCCCGTGTCTGTACCCTTTTCACGTTTGTGTATTGCTAATATGTGAGTATTAAACATCTGGATCAGTATCACTGAGGCTCTGGAAATGCTTAACGCTTGCCTGGGTGCTGAAGGACCTTCCTGGCTTGGAAAGGCAGCCAACACTTGGTTGAGATGAGCACGTTATCAGTAGGTCAGCTCTCCTGCTTTTAGGACTGAATTTTGTAACCCATTAGCTTGACCAGATGGTTGCATGGAGTAACTGCAAGTCTTAGGGTGAATATAAAGATCAACCTCTTAAAAAATAATAAAAAACAACAACAACAACAACAACAAAAAAAACAACAACCCACCACAAACCACAACACCACATAACTGCTAAAATTTTTCCCACCCCCACGCCAGTAGAAGAGCTCGCTTGCGTGCGCTGTATTTCTCATGATGAGAAATATTGAGTCTTTGTAGAACTTTTCTAGATGCTGCTTTATTTTGTAGCTTATATTTTACATCCCTGAATTCAATAAAAAAATTGTCCCTTGGGAGTCTATCAGTGAACTTTATTAAGACGGAGGGATACAGAGAACTAGAGAAGGTTCTCAGTTCCTTTAGCAGGTGGATTAAATTACTGTGGCAAACAAAGGAATCGTAACTGGCTGCTACTGAAGACACGATGAGAAGGAAGTTGGAAAAATCAGGAGACAAATGAAGGGGTGGAAAACTAGTTCCATGGTTTGGGGGAGAGAATCTTTGAGCCTGTAATGTAGAAATTGAACAGTTGGTCACAGTTTTTAAAATCTGCTCTTTTCCTAGTGACCCTGATTTCATTTTGGAGTGCTACAGCCCAGGTGTAGATCAGTCACACCTTCAGGAAGATGAGCACAGAACCCACAGCAAGTTCTCAGCATAACAAATATGGTTTATGACCTTTGGTTTAGTTATGTTCTTGTGTGTGTGTTTAAAACAAAAGATAGAAGAACAAAAGTTCCTGTAAATGACCATCTAATCCATCCTCCACTTTCCTTTTGCTCTCCTTTACGTTTACAAGTAAAATATCCCAACTGTCATGATATGAAGATATCTTTTCCTCTTGTTCTATCTTATCTGCTCTTGGGTTTATCTCCACGTGTTCTATAGATATTAATAAAATGCTAGCTAACAAGAGCAGAACTGGTTTTAGTCTTCAGAAATAAGATTGCTGACTGACACCCTCCCTGCCTGGTGCCTGGGGGTTTGGCTGATCTCTGCCTTGCTTCTTCCCAAAGCTTTGAATTGGAGGCTTCGAGGTTCACTGTTGTCTGATGTGGGACATAAAATAAATGGATGTGATACCAGTGCAGAGTAACGTGGGCATAAATCATGTTGTCTGGATAGTCTTTTGACCACGGGAGAGAGGATTTGATGTGGAGAGGTGATCTGGTGATGTGCTCTGCAAGGGAGAGCACCTGAGTGTGTGAAAGCAGATGGATACGTAGAAGCTGTGTTTGTGTGTGTGAACGTTGTGGGCATATCTCGTGTAGTGTGGCTTTATCTGGAGAAGGTAGAGAAATGAAATGAGAAATCTTAGCATGTTTCCTTAAATACCGTACAGCCCTAGTTTATACATTATATCCTAAGTGATAATTTTACTTTGTTTGGAGGCATCTGTCTGCGTAGCTAGGCAGTGACTTAAGAAACTCTACAGAAGTTGGTGTCACCCGTGTACTTTGTTCAGCTGACCTTTCGTTTCTCAGAAGCATCTCAAGCACCAGCAGGAGGACTCTTGGAAGCTGATGATTTCATTTGCAGAAGGATCACCAGATTACCTTCCATCTCCAAGACCCGCTGGAGTTACCCGCTCCGGGAGCAGGGTTTTGTCGTGGCTGCTTCAGTTCTCAGGGTGCAGTTGCTGACAGTACCAGAGGTGACCCCCTGCTCTGGGCAGGGGCTCCCTTCCTTCCGACCCTGGTGTACCTTCAGAATCGTCAGGATCTGTGGAAGGTGGCAGCAAAGCTTTGCTAGATACAACACACAGCTGTCAAAGGAGACCGTGTGCTGCTTTCATGCTTCTGTCTCTTGCTGGTGTCTCTCAGATTATGAATATGGAGAAGAGAGAAGGCAGTCTCTTGGGACCTGGTTTCCCAAAGCCATGTCCCTGTTACTCAAACACACAGAGGAGACAGTGGAGCACTGGAGTGCCATGGTGGGACGCCGAGCCCTGTGCGGCGGTGGGGACAGCCCCAGCCCCGTCTCCGGGTCCCACAGGCAGCAGCACAGGAACCGCGCTCGGAGCGGGCTCCAGCACGGACTCTTTCCACATTGAAGGGGATGGGATGAGGTGTTGGTGCCTCGAGCCAAGGAGGAGGAGGTCACAAGCTGTGATGTTTTCAGCGCGGGCAGCCAGCAGCAAGGTGGAGATGCCAGTGGGAGCAAAGTGATCCTTCTGTCCTTTCAGGAGCAGTGTTAGATCTTCCAGCTGTAGTGCCTTGACTACACAAGGTGTAATTACATGATGAGTAATTACCATATTTAAATTTAATATTTACCATATTAAAAACCATGTAGCTTTGGTGTTGAGCAGTATGGTTTAGGGACCCTGACAGTGCAGGGTGAATGGTTGGACTCGATCTTGAAGATCTTTTCCAACCAGATGATGCTATGATTTGTTGGTCTTGCCTTTTTGTGTGTTCATGCTGTGCAGTCTGTGTTTGTGTACACGCTCCACGTGCTTGTCTTCCCATGTCAACATCTCCGTGCACACACCTCCGTGCCTGGCACCGTGCTGGGTGCCATTCAGATCTCAAATTGTTGAGCCAACACGTCTGGTGTGAGAAACGTGATTTATCACCGCACCATCATCCGTTGGGCAGTGGTCTGTGGGGCACTGCGCTAGCGCAGGATGTTCTGAAGTATAATTGAGGTTTTTCCTTTGATCCAGTGACAGGCAGAGGTAGAAGGGAAAGGTGCTCGCTCGGGACTCGTGCTTCACCACTTCAGCATCGTTGCCAAGAAATGTTCCGTTTTCTTTGCGTCCTTCCCTTAGTGATACAGGAAAACTGAGTCACGGAAACTTCTACACCTCCGCCACAAAATCTTCCCTTTTCCCATGTTATTGTGTGTTTTGGTAGTTGCTGGAGTTCAAAATTGCAATGGGTGTGTTGCCAGATCTCATCTCATCCTTGTCAGGAGCCACGCGGGTTATATCCACCCCGAGCCAGTGCCTGAGTGCTTGTTGGTGCCAGTTGACAGGCTGGAGGGGGAAGGTGGAAATGGGAAGATGGAGAATGAAGTTTGAAGGTGTTTGTGCAGTGCTGATCACCGCTTCATAGGTTTCACGTTTGTTGGCAATGACATTAAGGTTGCTCCATAAAATTTTTCATATTCAAACTAAATTACTTGCTTTAAAACGCTAGACTTGCATTTCCCTCTCTTTTCTCCCTTTTGTTCTGTGCTTGGTTTTTCCCCTGGTATCATACACCTGCCTTTTCATCGGGTTGGGTTCTTTCCCTGGCACCACTCCGGGTTTGGAGGGGCGATGGGCTGTCACCGTGTCGTCTCACAGGTGGCCGTTTTAGTCGCAGGCTTCGGAAATGGGCTGTTTCATTGGTGTAATTTTGCAGAATGAAAAAAAAAAAATCTTTTCGGGGGTACATCTGTAGTAGAATGGAGGGAAAACTGCGTCCCTAGCTGGCATTTCCTAGAAAACACTTTGTATAAACTGAGCTGAAATGATTCCGGTTACATTCGTTTCCAAAGCTGTTGTTTTGCTAAACAAAATGGAACACGTTCAGGTTTTTGAGCTACCGATTGCCATTTTTCTCTCCACATCCACCAAGACAGTTGATGAAAGAATGTTTCTTTTGCTATTCTTTCTCTGTATGTGCTGTTTTTGCTTTGTAGTAACTCAGGTTGGTGTGTCCCAGGGACATAATATGTGTCCAGACCCTGGGATTCCCGAGAGAGGCAAAAGAATAGGCAACGACTTTAGGTAAGAACCTTTTACGTGTGTGTTTCTGCATGCTGCAAAGCTACTGTTTGTAACCGTTGTGTGTGCTCCTTGGCATCTCGTAGTCTGTTTTAGAGACCATCTGCACGCCTCTGAATGTATGATGTCTGCAAAGCTTGCTGAGAGTAGTGATGTAGAAGAGCAAGTGTGCATAGATGTGCCCATGTGTGTTTGGGAGACCGTGTCCCGGACGAGGATCTGTAGTGATCTCTCTGTCTCTGAGTATTTCTCTTTTCACAACATGGGCATTCAGCCAGACTTGTGTAATCAATGCTTGTTGTCATTCCCCCCTCCAGTTAAGTGCAGAGAGAACTGCCTTAAACAGCAAAAAAATAGCTTCTCACATTAGCTGAAGTCACAGCGTGGCCCTGCCCCTCGTGAATTTGAGGTGACTTCCCAAAACACGGTGCAGTTCTTTGTCAATAAGTAGACATGGTGCTAGATAATTGTTTTCTTATAAAGTTGAAACCAATGCTGTTGTTCCCTTGTAGTTGTATTTAAAGCGTGCAGGAATGAATCAGCCTGCTGTTAGCAATGGTGAATCAATATTTAATCTTATTTTGCTGTTGATGGCTGTTTTGTTCACTAAAAGTGTCTTTCAATTTAACCTGAGTCCATCAAATTCTCCTGAAATCCCGAAAATGGATCGGAGGGGTGAGGATGGAGGAAGGGGAATTCCCAATACTCCCTAAATGCCATAGGATAAACTCTCAGCTGCTGTAAACTGGCATTGTGTCACTTTGGTGAATAAGCCAACGTTGGCTTAAACCAGCAAAGGATCTGAATACGAAGTGAGAGAATAAAGAGCAAATCTTTCAGTAGTAGATAAAGATTTTTTTTTTTCCTTTGTAAGAATGCTGAACATGTCATCTCTTGGGGCTGAGCGTGTGTTCCCACACAGAATAAAATTCCCACTGAAGTTGCATTGAAAGACTGGAGTCTGTTGGTGGACGCTCAGCACCCCAGGCAAACCGTGCCCGGCACAAGCAAACGCACGAGGCAGGAGCTCATCCCTCCT